AAAATGGTAGCCAGAAGTTCCCTGGCCGAGCCAATCTCCTGACATGAACCCCATCGAAAACCCCTGGGCCATACTCGACCGGCAAGTCAAGAAACAACCAAAAAAAACCAACTTAAAAAAGCGATCTACTCCAAGTTTTGAAGCAAGAGTGGGCGAAAATCCCACAATCTAAAATTGACGAAATGGTTCTCACGATGCCGAATGAATTTCATTTTTTCTGAAAAGGTGGTGTCTATTTACTTGTGACCACGCTGTATATATATATATATATACTCCTACTTACCCTAATATATTCATTGTTCCTTTCAAATTTGAAAAATTTATATATATTTTTTTCTTCTTCTTCTTCATTCGACCTTAATCCTCTCTATATTTAGGGTCGTCTCCCTAGGTATTATTATTTTTTTGATTAGCTAAGAAGTTTTACACTCGGATATCTGGCTCTGACAGCAACCTTAAAGGGCAAGCATGTTGCAATACGATCGCCTTGACCACAAGGCCATGCCAGACCTAATTATATACATATTTATTTGGATATACATAAAACAGAGTGCGAACTCTCACCATACATAAACTTAAATATTGAAAATGATCGTCTTGTACTTATTAGGATTTATTTATCCTTTAATTCCCACCATTTTACTATTTCTTTTCATTCTGAATCTATAAAAACTTTATAAAAATGGACATCACAATGAAAGTTTACTGATTTTGATTGTTTTCTGTTTGGTAAGCCTACAATCGGTTTCGTCTAAACATAAATGGGGAATGTGTTATACATAGACACACACACACTCGGACAAATTAGCATTTGGTTAAACGGTACCCATCCACACATCCAACCTTTTGAGAGAGGGGGGAGGGCTATATATATAACTCATAAAGTGATTATAGTGAAAAGGGATAAGCTTCTTGTCTCGTTAGTTTGTAATATACAGTATTGTAAATAAATACGGAAACACAAGGAAAAGGATATAAAAGGCAAATTCTATAGGAATGCCACCCTCATTATCACGTGAAAACGAACTGCGATAGAATACAGTCACAAGTTGATAGTTTCCACTGTGGTTAGTTGCCATGTAAGTAATTAAAGTCTCATACCGATATAAAGCTTCTAAAAGTACTGGCAGTTATAATATGATCATTAGTAGCAATGTAAGTGCAATCATGGCTCCCAGGATTGGAGTACCACATGGCAATGTGTGGAAATCAGTCTTCTGACAAATCAACGATACGCCATGTGAAAAATTGTTGCAATACTCTGAAGTTGTTTCATGAATATACATTGTTAATAACAGAAGTGGTCAATTTATAAAACATTAACTCCCCAGAAGTGATATTAACTATCTCAGGATATGTTCTCTACGAGACAGACGATGATCGAACACATACCTTACCAACGACCTTGCTATAAATACAGGTGTAAGTGTTACCTCAAGAACATTAAGATACAAAATAGTACCAAATAGTCTCAGTGAATGCGAAATCTGAAGACGCATCCTTTTTTTCAGATGACCTTAATCCTCTCTATATTTAGGGTCGCCTCCTTAGGTATTATTATTTTTTTGATTAGCTAAGAAGTTTTACACTCGGATATCTGGCTCTGACAGCAACCTTAAAGGGCAACAATTTGTACAGCTTAGTTGACGTAGAAAAGCAGTACCATAATCAATGTACAACATCTATAATGAAACATGATGGGAGACAAGTAAAAATTTTAAGTTAACATCTCAACCAGCGATGTCAGTGATCTACACAAAGTTAATGGTACCCCGACTTGCTTACAGGTACATCATATTGTTATCCATCTTGTTATTAAAAAAAAAAAAAGACCTGTTGCGCATTGATTAATCTTTTAGCAAAACAGTTATTCCAAGCACGCCACGCAAATGTGGTCAAACGACATGTGGAAGGGAAAATGGGCCGAGCGAATTTACTAATCAACCTAGTTTAGTTGTTTTTATTTTCTTACACACAATGTTGTATAACTGTTTGAGCCACGGATCACTAGTATGTGATCAGAATTTAATTTTAAGGGTGTTCTAAACAAAAACTTTATTTCATTAACTGGTAAGCTAGAGAATATTGGCTCTTCATTCACACTGTTCAGAATGAGTGCGTCAGAACGAAAAACCAGTAAAACTGATTCTTAAACGTATCGCAGAGTCAGTAGACTCTGTGTAGGGATGGACAAGGTACTCAATAGGCATATTATAAATATGCACGCTGAAAATCAACAATGAAAGAGAGTTTTACTTTAAAAGACGATTGCCACTCACTTTCATTTGTTTCTCTACCAAACAAGCCCAAAAACAAGACAAGAAACCATCACTAAGATACGAAACCAGAAAGTAATCAACCCACCAAATTATTCATCTTTTTACTTCTTGTTGTAGTCGAGACAATTCTACAACTACTTTATCATTAACGTCAGGTTAAACATAAATCCACTCTTATATGTTTCTGGGCAGTTCACGATGTCATCACTTAGTCGTAGAAACTAGTAGTAATAAAAAAAATCATAATTATAGTGTAAATGATGTTATCATTACCCCTTGAAGTTACCTGGTGTTCATTTTAAAAGCCTAAGTACAGGATGAAGCAAGAATTACCAGCCAATAATAGATGAACATTAGATGACTGCAACATGTAGAATACTCAAGGTCGCGGGTTCGAATCCCCGTCCCACCAAACATGCTCGCCCTTTCAGTCGTGGGGGCGTTATAATGTGAC